TGCACAGTTTGCAGTTTGCAATCCTATTATAGTTCGCGTGCGTGTAAGCCTTAAGAAGACGAAGCTGGTTTAGAAGAGGACTGCAAGTGGTTTAGAAGACGAAGAAGAAGAGGTTTAGATTTTATTTTTTTTTTAAGTATGGACGGAAATGGACGCCCGTCCAAACTTAAGGGACTGGCGTCCATTCCTAATAGACGCCAGTCCAAACGCAAGGGACGGCCATCCAAAATTTATGGACGGCCGTCCCAAAGTTTTTTTTTTTTATATTTTGGTTAAGGACGGACGTCCCTTATTTGGGGACGCTCGTCCAAAACAAAGGGACGATCGTCCATAACGGATAAACGGCTTGTTAGTGTATATTAGTGTATGCCCTAGAAGCCATTCGTGTTGTCGGTTTCAGAGCATTTTGTCTTGTATCTATATATATCATAAATAATAGAAGAAAGAGTTCTTCAATTCATATATGTAAATTGCTTCATTTATTCAGTCATGCATTTAAAATAAAGTATGTATATGAATTGTCCAGATGATTCATTTAATAGGTAAATGAATTATCGAAAAGGGTTCCCTACGGAAGCAATATAAATTTGGGCAACTATATTGTACAGTAGGCATACCGGATGCTTCCGAAAGATATCATGAGTTGATATAAGTACGGATGACGATGATAGTCATGTCACTGGGGCATTGGTATGGATTAACGGTTGGTGAACTGTTTTTCNAAAGATTACCCATTAATAATGGACGAAAATGATGGCAGTATAGGAGATGATATTGGAGTTTAGAAGGCAAAGAAAGATCCTGAATCCTGATAAATGGTAGTGAGTTCAATAGAATAAATATATAAAGCAAGATTCAATTTACAGTAACTAACATTTATTTAAATCTTTCTAGAGGTGATGAGGTGACCAAACCAACAAAAACAATACACTACACTGCTGACTTACAATATCTAAATTTTGAGTAAACGACTATTTTCCCACCAAGGTTTGCCTTAATACAATTTCCCACCCAAAAAGTTTCAAAACACCAAATTACCATCCACTAAAAAGTTCTGTTAGTAGTTTTTGTAATGTAAAAGGGTATAATGGTCAAACAATGGGTAAAAGTAAGGGCATTATTATCAAATAATATTTTAATAAAAAAAATTTGAAATTGAAGTGTGAGGTTGGGACTTGGGCTATTGACGAGTGTCCATGAGAGTTGACATTTGAAAGAAATGGAAGAAGGCTTGACATTTGAAAGAAAAGGAAACTGAAACGCTGATGACCTTTGAAAGAAAAGGAAAAGGAAATGTAACGTTTGCGTGTTCTAGAAGCGGCGACTCTTGGGTTTTTAGTTAACATCTTCGACTGAGATAAAGCTTAGGCTTAGGTTTGGTTTGGTTAGGTTAATTTTGGGTGTCTCGTGTTTCAATTTTGTCTTCATGTTTTAACATGGTTGTAATGTTTCAATTTCCTATAGGATTGCATTTTACACTTGTTTTGTTGTATTGCTGATATTCAACTCTTTTATGAGCCTAGGAAATTTGTTCCATATGTATGTGAATGAATTCTGGGTAATATTGTTCACTGCTAGTTGCATGATATTGCTGAAATTTTAAATAATGGTTTGCAATTGAATTTCTTGATTTTGCAGCTGTATAGGCAGTATACATAGATAATATCATTTTTCTTTTGATGGTATATCAATTTGCGCTATCTTAAATGCAAGTAGTACTGTTATTTCATACAAAATATTGTTTGTGGACATCCTGAGGTGAATTTGAGGGGGCAAGGAGTGAAAAATGCTTGTTTTTTTATTGGTTTTTGTTGGGATTTTTTCTTCTTCTGTAAAGTTGGTTAATTATTTGTATAATGTATGTATTATAAGTTCGTGGACATTCTGAGGTGAATTTGAGGTGGTAAAGAGTGAAAAGTGGCTTGTTTTTTTACTTGTTTTTGTTGGAATTTTTTTTTTTTTTCTGTAAAGTTGGTTAATTATTTGTATATTGTATGTATTATAAGTTTGTGGACATTCTGAGGTAAATTTGAGATGGTTCTGAGTGAAAAATGGCTTGTTTTTTTACTGGTTCTTTTTAGAATTTTTTTGTATAAAGCTGGCTAATTATTTGTATACTGTATGTATTATAAGTTTGTAGACATTTTTAGAGGAAGTCATTGAGTTACTTTGTTTCAGGTCATAACTCTTGGAGATCAACAAGGGTTTGGAGTACATGAACTCAAGAAACACTAGAATCAGAGCCTCATGTTTCAGGTCACCTAGGACAAATCGTATACTAGTCATATTTTTACTCTATGTATATATTATCAACAAAGCTACGGACACCGAAAAAGTTGCACCGAAATTCTGTACCGGCCTACGTGTAACGCGCCTCTGAATTTTTTTATAATTTTTTTCTAGTGAACGGCCGTCCATCAAATTTAGACGGCCGTTCACTCACATAGACGGGCGTCCTCATTTAAAGGACGCCCATCACTCATTAAAATACAATAAAAAAAAAATTATAAACATTAGGGACAACCGTTCATCCATTATGGACGGTCATTCCTTTATTTTGGACGGGCGTCCGCAAATAAGGGACGCCCGTCCTTAACCAAAATATGAAAATAAAAATAAAAAAAAACTTTGGGACGGCCGTCCATAAATTTTGGACGGCCGTCCCCTACGTTTGAACTGGCGTCCATTATTCCCTTAAGTTTGCCTAATGGACGCCCGTCCATACCTAAAAAAAAAAAAAAAAAAAAAATCTAAACCTCTTCTTCTTCGTCTTCTAAACCACTTGCAGTCCTCTTCTAAACCAGCTTCGTCTTTTTAAGGCTTACACGCATGCGAACTATAATAGGATTGCAAACTGCAAACTGTGCACTTCCTCCCCCCCGTGGTGAACTCGAGCTGGAAGACAACCCTCATCCCAGCCCAAAGGAAGCATATTGCACTCTGGCCACCATCTCCGGCAGCTAACCTTGTCGTCCCCCCCAGATACGATACCAACTTTGCATAGCTTCTCCGCCATTTTCATTTTGCTCTCAGCCCCGAACAGGACCCAGTTTTGCTCTCTTTCCGTTCATCCATTAATGAGAAAGATGCTTTTCTTTTCCATAATGATGAACTGTCTAGACCCAGCTTTGACACTTGCATATGCTTCTGACTATAGGGATCCGTTTACCCTTCCTATGTTACAAAATGAAAAGAAGAGAGCAACTGCTGCTAAATTTGAGCTTGCTTCATTGTACGGTGGGCAGAGTGATCAGCTAGCAGTCATAGCAGCTTTTGAGTGCTGGAGGAATGCAAAACAGAGGGGTCAAGAAGCATGGTTTTGTTCTCAGTATTTCGTCTCTTCAAGCATCATGAATATGCTGCTTGGTATGCGTAAGCAGCTTTAGACAGAATTAGTTAGGAATGGGTTTATTCCAGAAGATGTCTCAAGCTGTAGCCATAATGCACATGTGCCAGGCATACTACATGCAGTCCTTGTGGCTGGTTTGTATCCAATGGTGGCAAGGTTGCGTCCACCTCATAAAAATGGAAAACGATTTGTTGAGATTGCAAGTGGTGCTAGAGTTAGATTGCACCCTCATTCCATTAATTTCAAATTATCATTTAAGAAAACTGAGGATTGTCCATAGCAGCCGTTACAGTAGCCACTGTTGCGTCTTCATCTTCAAGAAAGAACGAGCAGCAGCCACTCCTTGTTTCATTTAAAATGTTTTTTTTTTTTTTTAAAGTATGGACGGGCGTCCCCGTCCAAACGTAAGGGACGGTTGTCCCAAAGTTTTTTATTTTTTTTATTTTCATATTTTGGTTAAGGACAGGCGTCCCTTATTTGCAGACACCCGTCCAAAACAAATGGACGACCGTCCATAACGGATGAACGACCGTCCCTAATGTTTATAAATTTTTTTTTATTATATTTTAATGAGGGACGGGCGTCCTTTAAATGGGGACACCCGTCCCTTGTATATGGACGCCCGTCCATATAATATGGACGGGCGTCCATGTGAGTGAACGGCCGTCCAAATTTGATGGACGACCGTTCACTAGAAAAAAATTGTAAAAAAATTCAGAGAGGCGTTACACGTAGGCCAGTACAGAATTTCGATGCAACTTTTTCGGTGTCCGTAGCTTTGTTGATATATTATTGATCATAGATTTATGACCAGAATTAAAGCCTCCTATTTTTGCTCTATGGAGATTGAATTGGCTTTAATATTTTTGAATGAGAATTGTGATAATGACAATTAATTGACTTTGATATTTTTGAATGGGATTTGTTACAATGACAATGAAGTAGTTTTAACTCCATTTTTGGTTCTTCCCCTTTAAAACTTGTTGGTTTATTTACCCAGATTGAACATATTTGAATTGCATTCCCAATTTCTTTTTTTTTTGCGTATCAATTCAAGTGATTTGCATTATGATTTTGGAATCTACACTCTTGCTGGGTTTTAATTGATAAAATTCAGTCAACTTATTTTGCATCAAACACATGGGCAAAATGGTAATATCAATTACTTCAAAATTTTAATATTTTAACGGTTACTGATTGTTTTTTAGCATTAGAGACAAATTGGTAATTTAAATTTTATACATAATTACTTAATTAGTGATATATTGGTAATTACATAGCTAAAAGGGGGTATGTTGGTAATTACATAGTTAAAAAGGGGTATATTGGTAATTAAATGCCTTGACAGGACATATAATAATAGTAAAACAATTCCTGTCAAACAGTTAAGAGCTTTCCGTCTTTACCATTATAATTACTGAATTTGACGAAATTTAGTAACGGAAGTTGACTAGTGGGTGGTAATTTGGTGTTTTGAAACGTTTTGGGTGCAAAAGTAATTAAGGCAAACCTTGGGTGGGAAAAGGTTTACTCTCTAAATTTTCTTAGGTTAGCCGTTCATTGGTGCACCACGTCATCTTACTTTACACATCTGGACGGCTACAAATTGTTCACGAGGTCTTTATATTGTAAAACTAAAAAGCGGGAAGGAATGGCGGTTTGAGTTTATAAAAAAAAGCCGCGTTATTAAACCTCATATTCCCCAAAATCTCTCTGTGCAGCAATTGAGTGGTGAAGAAGCACAACTAGTTAATCTTAAAATCTCTGCGTTAATTTCATATATGAGTGTGGAAGGGTATCTTTTTCTCGTTTAATATTTTTGTTTTGCCTTTTTTTTTTTTTGGTTGCTAAATGCTCACCTCCTGTTTGTGAAAATGCGTAATTGGACTGAACTTCTGCTAATATATATATATAGAATGGTGGGTCTTTCTGAGGGAGAAAAGGAATTTATTAAAGGTGGAATTGCACAAGACCTCCGCTCCGATGGTCGCAAGAGACATACTTACAGACCCATTTATGTTGAAACCGGTGTCATTCCTCAGGTTCATAATTTTCAATGTGTATTTTCTTCTTTTAACTGTTCTGTTTTTTAAGCTTTATATTTTACATTTTTTCACGACAGGCAAATGGTTCGGCAAGAGTAAGGTTAGGGGCGACGGATGTTATTGCTAGTGTCAAGGTACTTTTTTTGGCCTAAAGTCAAAATGACAAGTGTCGCACATATGGATATAATTCTTTTCTTTTTTACGTGTCAATAGTTTTGTTGTATCTGTGTAAAACTTTCGTAGTTGTTTCTTTTGAAACTTGCCATAGGGTGAACTTGGAAAGCCAAGCTCGTTGCAACCTGATAAAGGGAAGGTTGCTATATTTGTTGATTGCAGCCCAACTGCTGCCCCAATGTTTGAGGTTGGATACTTCGATTGCACTCCTTTTTAAGTATTACTACTGCATTTGATAGTGGTCCTTTGTAATGTGTAGAAATTTTGTGATCTTATATAATCTCGATTAAAGCAATCAGTTTTCTGTAATAATCTACATACCCTTGTTTGTACTACCCAGTAAACCTCTCCTTTCTTTAAACAAATTTCAAACATACCAGACACAAATAATAACTACTTTAATTTTTAATTTCTCTTATAACTTCTCATCTTTCTCTTTTATAAAACAAGAAAAGTAGTATTGGACGTCCCAAGTAGCATTCTAAATTTGTCATCTCAAATAATTTGTCTTCTTATATGACTAATCCATATCATTTGCCGCATTAGCTTGTTATTTATACTAATGCCACTTAGAAAGACATCACTTGGGAAACAAATTTTTGGATGTTACTTGAGATTTGTGGATTGAGACAAAAATTAATCATAACGAAGTCATCATACAGGGTTTTAAAATATGAAAAAAAACTAATGTGTTTAATAGAATACGACAGATAAAATATAATTGATTAAAATGTTTATTTGTTGTTAAAATTTTTAAAGTTTAATTATGATTTATATTTGTCTCGCCTAAACTGAATTCTTGGCTATATTCATGTTTCTAGCACAATCATGTAAATTTGTTTTGAACTCATGTTTAGTATTGTTGCCTTAATCATATACATAATTTTAACCTGCTGTGTAATTAACAATTCATTGCGATTCTTTAAACTGTTTTCATGTCCTTTCAATATCTATATCATTGTTTATAAGTTAATTCTAGTGACTTATGCACAGGGCAGAGGAGGTGAAGATCTGTCAGCAGAACTCTCCGGAGCTCTTCAGCGTTGTCTCTTGGGTAGTAAAAGTGGAGCAGGTCTGTATGAATAGAGCAAGAAAGGCAATTATAATTTCTTTCATCACAAATCCTTTTGCTTTTTCGGAAATTCCTGCATTAAAATAACACTGTTAAATAATATATTCTTACATCTAGTTCTTGTTGTTTCAATTGATTATGGAGCTATTTAATGTATTTCAGGAGCTGGAATTGATCTATCATCTCTAGTAGTTGTGGAAGGAAAAGTTTGTTGGGATCTTTATATTGATGGTCTAGTTGTTAGTGCAGATGGAAATGTTCTGGATGCTCTTGGCGCTGCCATTAAGGTAGCCTTTTTGCATATATCTGTGTATATTCTGTTTTCACGTCGGCAATGGAAATGTTTGATCATTTCTAGGATACTTGCGACTATTTTACTTATGTTAATACATAATACTGATTCACCAACTTGCTATTCCAAAGGCTGCTTTGAGCAATACTGGCATCCCAAGAGTCAATGTTGCAGCCGGTGCAGCAAATGATGATCAACCAGAGGTTGACATAAGTGATGAAGAATTTCTGCAGTTTGACACGTCTGGAGTTCCTGTCATAGTTACATTAACAAAGGTGCTTCTTCAGACTGTTGTATCTTTTGCAAATGACAAGTCATCACAATGTTTGCCCTTCTCTTTTGTAGGTAGGAAAACATTATATAGTAGATGCTACATCAGAAGAGGAATCGCAAATGAGCTCGGCAGTTTCTATTTCTATCAATAGGCAAGGGCACATTTGTGGTATGACCAAACGAGGAGGTTTGGGCTTAGATCCAAGTGTCATTCTTGACATGGTATCTGTTGCTAATTTTGTAAGCAGGCAGCTATTTGACAAATTGGACTCTGAGATATCTGCTGCTGAAGCTGATGAAGATGAATCATGATGCCCTCGTATATGTTGAAATTGATTGACCTAAACTTTGACTGTTCTGATTGAATGTGGATGGTAAAATATGGAATTCAGTTTTTGTTGTATGCTAAATTGGAATTTTCAATGGGGAGAGCAAGTGTTTCTACCTTGTGCGATTGTTTCAGTGGCAGGGGCGAAAGCAAAGGTGCAGGCAATGTTTTAAAACTGGTTTGACTCGGTCGGTTGAATTGGTTAAACCGGGACTCGGCCAGTCAGTCGGGCCGAGTGAGCCTTAAAACTGGCAGAATTAGTCTGCCTAGCTTCACCCGCGGTTGGACCAAGGTACTGTAGCATCTGCCGGTCCAACCGTTATTTTTACAGAAACCGAGTCAATGCTAAATTACAAAATTTAAAAAGTAAAAATATTAACTAAACCCCTATTATATAAAAATTAAACATTAAACCCCCCATCCCAAAGCAATTATCAAGTTATCACTTATCAACGATTTCCCCCCCATTTTCACGCAACTTCCCTCCCTTTTGATTTGAACGATTTCATCATCCCTCGGAGTCTGCCCTTCACCGTCGAATCTCGTTGCTTCAGCCTTCACTGTCAACTGCATAGTTTGTCGTCAGTTGGGGTACCATGAATCTCTTCCTATTTCGCAATCTCTTCTCTGCCCTCTCTTCACTCTTCTTCACTGTCGATCTGCTATGTTCATCTGTCATCGTCGATCTGGGAGCTACATTGTTCTTACATTGTCGTTCTCGTCTTCTTCTTGCTCAGGAACTGTCGCCAGTCATGATCTCTTCTTTGTTCTCGTCTTCTGCTTTGTTCATCTGTCACAGTTGAGCTCCACTTCTTATGCAGTCAACGGCAGCTCGTCTTCACCAACACCAAGTAACCATTTTTTCACATTGATTTGTATTTTCATTTTTTAATGCGATGGCTTGGTCTCTGTTTGGTTGCCAAGAAATTGTAGAACGTTTATGTGATTGAAATAGTCTAGTTATAGGTGAAACGTTTATGATTGAAACAGTCTATTGGATTTTGATGACGTTAATATTGGGTGGCTTAGTTTTGCAACATAGTTACACTAGTATGAAATAAGGCATTCAATGATGCAATTAGAAATTAGAACTTCTATTTTTTCTTCAGCACAAGTGATGTAAACACACTACAATTTGATTGCAAAACTTGTAATTCTTTAACTTAGAAGGATACAAATCCATGGAGTACAGGTTTTGCTCCTTAACCTCTACCATTTCTCATGTCTTGTTGATTTTTGTTATGCCAAAGCCCGTTTACAACTATAATCTCTTCATTATAATTTATATACTGACTAAAGTTTGTCCAAACAAAGCAAGAACTCGAGAAAGGAGATACCCAAATATGCATGCACAAAAGATATACAAAGAGGTGCATACGCAGAGGTTTGCCAATGTTAAAAAAGAAATCACATATTTCTTTCAAAGGAATGTTACAATGCCCTCAAGGAAATGATGTCTAACATAAATGGACAGTAGAAATTATAGTTAATGGATCTCAAAACGGGCAGTAGAAATCATAAATTACCATACTATGATGACATAGTGATGAAAACTACAATATATCCCCATAAAAAGATAGAAGACAAAATTAAAAAATACAAACTTACTTGAGGTCATGACTAACAACAAGTATAGTTAATTCTTTCTTCCGATGCTTCAAAAGCTTCACAAGATCTGCGCGTGCCTTCCAATGTAATTTTTCCAAAATTGCATAAGCGATTAAATAACTACCGAAGATCAAAGACATAATGTGCAAGCAGTTTAGTAACATAAAGCTGTAGATTACAGGGATCATGCATGCTTAATTATTAGATTGACTTCTGATGCTGTCTAAATTTATATATTTACACAAAAAGGAACAATAATTCAGAACATTAGCACTGAATGCTTAGAGGGAATATAATGCTTTAATAATCCGAACGCTGCTGTGTGCTATCCTAATAGCCTTATTTGTTATTTGTGTCGCCAGGGTAGAGATCAAGATTAAAGACAAAGAATATATCATCATCTAGGTCTTGTCAACAATCTGCTTCCGTAGATGTTTCACAAACTTTTCGAGGAAGAAATGATATAGCATGGGGACATGTTAATGAAGGCGTGGATGAAAATGGGAAGAAGATATTAACATGTCTTTATTGTGGCAAGATAATCAGAGGTGGAGGAATTTATCGAGTGAAATTGCATCTAGCGGGTATAAAGGGAGAAGTTGGAAAGTGCCCTAAAGTTCCTTTTGATGTTAAATTCAAGATTGAAGAAGCACTAAATGAAATTGGGGCCAAGAATAAACAAAAAGTTGAACTTCGTAAGAATGTCAATCCTTATGGAGCTAGTGTACAACAATTTGAAGGTGATATGTTAGATGAAGATCAAGAGTGTGAAGAGGTTTCTCCATATAGTCAAACTTTCGACACGTGCATCTGAGGTTACAAAGTTTGTGTATAATCATTCCTTTGTGCTAGCTTTGTTGAGAAAAAAACAGGTTATATACCTTTATCTCATATGTTTATAATTTACATTGTCAAGACATATTATATATGTACATTTTTTAATAATTTACTAAGTACTAACATCTATTGTCTATCACTTGAATATGGTTGGACAGAAATTATACGCCTAGGTGCAACCCGTTTTGCCACAACTTTCATTGCATTAAGCAGCCTACATCAACACAAACATGACTTGCAATCTACAATGACAGATAGAACTTTTGTGGAGTCTCGATATGCAAAAACTAATAAAGGCAAAGCCTTTATTTCCATAGTTCTAGATAACCAGTTCTGGGATGACATTGGTATAATTTCCAAAGTTGTGAGTCCATTGATGCGTATGCTCTGGATTGTAGACTCAGATGAGAGGCCTTCAATAGGATATGTGTATGATGGCATGTACAGAACGAGGATGGGATCAAGAAGCTGTTTAAGAACAAGAAAAATTTGTACAAGCCTTATACAACAATTATTAAGATGTGTTGGGATAGGATGTTGCGCTGTGATATTCATGTAGCAACATATTATTTGAATCCTGTTTTTAAATATGACGAAGATACTTTTTCCAAAAAACTTGAGGTCATGTATGGTTTCCTTGACACTATTGATAATAAAGCAAATGCATTCAAAATGAGCAAGACAACGTTACTGGAGGAGGGTAGATTAGATCAAGACCATCTAGAAAGCTTTTCTCGTGAGCTTACTCTTCAAACTTGCAAAACTACACGGCCGGGTATGTAATAGTTATTAACTTTTTAAGTCTAATTTTTAAGTTATGATATTGTGTTTATTTCTTATGTAATTTATACTTTTTTTCTCAATTAGATGAATGGTGGAGGACATTTGGGTTTAGTGCTCCAAATTTGCAAAAGTTTTCAATCAAAATTCTAAGTCAAACTTCGGCCTCTTCCGGATGTGAGCGAAAATGGAGTGTTTTTGAACGCATACATACTAAAAAGAGGAATAGATTGGAGCATCCACAGTTGAATGATTTGGTTTTCACTCATTATAACTTGCGTTTGCAAAATAGGTATAAAGTCTTCTTCATTTTGTTATTTTCATTGATGTCTTTATTGGTCATGATTTGAATATTTAATTCTGTTATTTCAGGAGTTGTTACAAGAAAATTACATATGATCCTATTGATTATGAGAGTATTGATAAAACTGAATGGTGGATAGTTGATGAGGAAGAGGAGGTTGGTGAGCTTAATTATGATGAATTGGAACAATCATTATATGGAGAAGGAGCTATTCCTATAGATGGTGGTGATCACCCTTCTTATTATGACTCAACAAATGCTTAAGAAGGTTGTTTACAATTTTTTAAGCAATTTCAATTTGGTATTAGCTACTTTATATTCAATTAGTTTAAATGGAAAGATTTAACTTATGGTTTTCCTTTTTTGTTGGAATTTTTTGTAGATGATGTCGTCGATATTAATAATGATGACGATCATCTATCAGGTGGTGTGTGAATTGTGAATTTTAATTGAGGATGAAATGATGGATTGAAGACAATTGGGTGAAGATCATTTTTTGTTAGAATGTTGAAGTGTTGACTTGAAAGTTGAAACAACTATTATGTGATTTTTCTTCATTCATTTTGTTATTTTGATTTGTAATTTGTTGTATTATTAATGTAATGATGTTTGATGATGTTTTGCTAAGGACTTTTTATTCTGGAGTTTATGATTTGAAGCCAAATTTTGGAAATTAGCATTCTGTGGACTTGGCCACCTTGCCGGGTTTTGTCACAGGTCGATTTTTAAAACATTGGGTGCTGGTTGGGTGGGATTTTGAAATAAAAAAGTCATCTTAAAAATATTTCAAAAAAAGTTTATCATGAAAATTTATCCTTTTTAAACAAATATACCCCTACTGTTAAAATTTTAAATCGTAAAAAATTTTCAGGTTTGACCCTCAACTGGTATGAAATTTCATAGTTTTGTCATTGTTCTCTACAATAAAATTTCAGTACAAATTATGCATTTAAGATGTTTATTCTAATACAGTAACATTATATATATAAAATAAGTATTTAAATTTATTTATTAAGTGAAGTGAGTTGATGTCTTAACACCAAGATATATTAATTTGAAATATAAAATTGGGAGTTTAATCATAAATGTAAATTATTTCTATGAGTTTGGCAGTAGTTAGAATGATGGGTATTGATCTATTGTTCATCTTCATTGTTTGTGTCATCTACCATTACAAGCTGCAAGTAAGGCTCAAGTAATCGTTATAAAAATCTTGATGCAGATTGCAGACATACCAACCAAAACTTTGGCATGGTGGTGGAAGACCTTTGAATTGACTCAGTTTTTGGTGCAATGCCATTCAACTAGCACGTATATTTCCTGTTAAATAGCACACTATTATTTATAAATGTGTCATATTAGGGTTGAAACATTTCACATGATTAATTAAACAGATTTAAAAGTAAATACGAAACGACGCCATTTGTTAACATGAAATATCAACCTTATTTGAATCGATGACTCTTTATTTTTCGTGATTCCAAGTATTTCTAGAATCAACGGATTATAAAAACTTCATTTTATTACATTAAACCAATTATTTAGCAATTTAAAAAATTATAAAAAAAATATATATTGGTTGAAAGTGATATCGTCTAAAACAACGAAGAGAAATATCAAACTGAAAAAGATAGGGATCAAAATTGAATTTTCGTCTAAAGCAATGATGTCGAGAATACTATAATTATAAGTTGGAAATGTAAAAAAACTAAAAAATTGTGAGGTAATGTCACTATTTTTAGAAAAGTATCATGTATCTTCTTGAGATAAAAAAAAAAAATCTGCGTAAAATTACAAAATTAGATCATCATTTAGGGTTGACTCAATTTTCGGTGCCATGCCATTCAACTGGCACATATAGATGTTAAATTCAATTGAAGTTATCAATTTCAAAGACTTGATAAGGTGGGTTCTTTTCCACAAGGAAAAAAAACGGTGTTTACTGTTAATCAAAGTCAACCACTCTATAACTGCACCGTTTAATCTTTTATCGTCACAAATTAGTTGAAGACCCACCCATTTTACCAAACTAAATAGAAATAATAGTTGAACTTATTCTTAATAATAATAATTTTTCTGCTTTCTTAACATCCACCGAACTAGTATAAAAGTATAATCATAAACACATCTAGCATCCACAACAAAGTTACATTTCTCTGCAAACAAAATGTCAATAATGCTCCAAATGCCATCACTTCCTGTCTTCTTGATTTCTGTTCTTTTCTGGTTGATGCTTGTTAGATATTGGAAGAACTCCAGAGTTACAGGGAAGGAGCTTCCAGGGCCTAAACCACTGCCTATTATAGGGAACTTGCATCAATTGTCAAGAGGCTTACCACATCATGCTTTGACAACATTATGCAATAAACATGGCCCTGTCATGAAACTACAACTTGGTCAGCTTGTTGTTGCTATCATTTCTTCACCTGATGCTGCCAAAGAGGTGTTAAAGACTAAAGAGATAAGTTTCGCGCAGAGGCCTGAAGTGTATGCCGTTGAAGTCATATCATATGATCATTCAAGTTTTGTGTTCTCTCCCTATAATGATTATTGGAGAGAAATGAGGAAGATATCTGTAATGGAGCTCTTAAGCGCTAAGCGTGTCCAGTCATTCAAATCAATCAGAGAAGAGGAGGTATGGAATCTTATTGAATTCATTTCTTCATCTGAGGGACTTGTAATAAATCTCAGTGAGAAGATTTTTGCCATGACAAATAACGTGGTTTCGCGGGCGGCTTTTGGTAAGAAGTGTAAAGATCAATATGATTTTACTTCACTGCTTGAGGAAATTATGCACCTTGCTGGAGGCTTTGACATTGCAGATCTGTACCCTTCTCTTACATTTCTTCGAGCCATTACTGGGATCAAACCTGCATTAATAAAAATTCAGAAGAAGATGGATAAGATTCTTGAAGATATTGTCACCGAACATAAGTTGAAAAGATCAGCTAATACCAATGGCAATGATGATATAGTTGACACACTTCTCAATTATGAAGAGGCTAATAAGAATGAATTTCATCTCACAATTGATCAGGTCAAAGCTGTGACTATGGTAAGTCAAGTATACTCTTTGTGTTCTCCTAAAACATATGCTAACAAGAACTATTATTGAACAAGTATGAATTTTTAATTCTTTGCAACTTGTATCTATTTCCAGGACATTTTCTCTGCAGGGACTGAGACTTCAGCAACGTCAACAGAATGGGCTATGTCAGAGCTGCTTAAAAACCCGAGAGTAATGGAGAAAGCGCAAGCAGAGGTAAGACAAGCATGTGAAGGAAAGAGCAAAATTGGGGAGGCGGATGTTCAAAAACTAGATTACTTAAAAGCTGTTGTTAAGGAAACTTTCAGATTGCACCCTCCAGGTCCTTTAATTCCAAGAGAAGCAAGGGAATGCTGTGAGATTAGTGGATATACAATACCAGCTAAGGCCAAAATCCTCATTAATATTTATGCAATGGGGAGAGATCCGAAAATATGGAAAGATCCTGAAAGCTTCCAACCAGAGCGTTTTGAAGGATCTCCAATTGATTTCAAAGGGAACCACTTTGAATTGATTCCATTTGGTGCAGGTAGGAGGATTTGTCCTGGCATATCATTTGCAACTTCTAAGATTGAACTTGGTCTTGCTCAAATGCTTTATCACTTTGATTGGAAACTCCCAAATGGGATCAAACTAGAAGACCTGGATATGACAGAGAATTTCGGAATAACAGCTAGAAAAAATTGTAATCTGCAAGTGATCGCTACCACTCGTATTCCTTTCCAGAAATGATGCATTTTTAACATGTTATTAAGAAAACGTTCTGGGTATTGCACCTAAATTTTGTGCTTCTCCAACCTAGCTATTTTATACCATTTCGAGTGAAGCAGACACAAAATAAATTTCTCAAAATACAAACGAACAACTTTTATTTCAATAGAAACATTGTTCATTGCTTTTCCGGTTGGATCATAAGTGTAACGCCCAAAAAAGTTTGTAATGTTTTATAAAATTTTAAATGATGAACTCTAGGTTACTTTAATTTATGATATGCTTAGTAGATACTTCTGTAATATGTTTCCGCCTCTTCAAGTTTCAAATATCTGAAGAGTACTCTAGAATTTGAATGTTTTTAATTTGAAGTTGTTACAATCTATTTCTTGAAATTTATATGATTTTTGGCAAGAAAAAATAGGGGTGAGCGGTTCTGGGTACCCTACATTTTTTGGGGAAATCGGAACCGAAACCGCACAGTGCAAGTTCTTAAATTCAAGGAACCAGAACCTAAAATGCAGGTTCCGGTTCCTTTCCCGGGTACCCTATAAAAAATCAATTACCCCCTTATTAGTTTAAAAAATGATAAAAATACCTTAAAAGTTTACAAATATACCCCTAACAAATTTCGATTACTCATTCATTTGTGTCCAATGTAACTCATAACCTTTAATCTCTAGACAACACTTGAATTCAATCAATTTATCACAATTCACATAAAATTCCTCAATCAAAACCAAAACACAAACAATTATTCATCACAATTCACATCAAATAACTTCACTAAAATCATTCAAACAAACAACAATATAAAAAGTTAGAAACTGTCACCAACTTCTTTGATTCTCCCACTAATTTCAATCACTACAATTATAAAAATACAAAACAATCCAAAAAGCATAACATGACTCATGTCTAATGCTCCAAATTAGGCGTGGATGTTCCTTCGCTAAGTGATTGAAGTCCAATCATTTCTACAAAATAAACACAAGAAAGTCAATTAGTAGCTTCAAAAAGTAAAAACATTGAATAAATTTATTTACTAATAACTTAAAATAAATTTAAGAGATAAGAATATAATCGTTACTTAGTTAGATACTATACCCGCTTCATAAGCCTCTATATCCTCCAAGTCATCTTCATCTAGAGTTGGTGCACATTTCAACCAATCGCTTGTACAAATCAATGATTCAACAACCACAGAGATAAAGAACTTCGAAATTTATCAAGTACATGACCCGATGTACTAAAAGCTGACTCGGAAGCAACTGTAGACATCGGGATTGCAAAGAGATCTTTGGCCATACGCGAGAGAACTGTATACTTTGATGCATTTGCTTTCCACCATTCCAATACATTCAAGTCAGACATTATGGATTCACATTTATCATCAAGGTACCGGTCTAACTCTGACTTGGCAGCATCTTGTACCTCTACCTACATCTCTTCCACATATGCCGATCTCAGAGGGTCGGGGACAATACCACCACGCTGACTACTAGCAACAGTTAAAGGTTGATCATTTCCGCTTGTTGGACAAGAACTAGAAGCTTGACTTTCATCTAAATTTGATGGAAGTCCTTTATAAAATTCAAACAATTCTTGTAACACATGTCTCACGATTCCAAACATCCTTTCAGCCTTTTCGTCGTCATTAGCATATATCTTTTTTTTTTGTCGCACCAACTCACATAATTCATTTTATTTCTGGGATCTAACACGCTGTAGTCAACACTATCACGTTCATTTTGTCAAGACTCCCAAAATACTTGTTAAATTTCTCCCTCATTTTAATTGACATTGCATTAAGACAAACATTAGAGTCTTTCTCCCAATCATTTAAAGTAGTGACAATGCCTGCAATTTCATGAAAATAATTGTTAGAAGTCACATAGTTGGACCCTGGCATCCTGGTTGGAGCTTCATAAAATTTCCTTAGGAACTTGGCAAACACAGTTGCATTTTCCTAATCTTCATCAAAAGGAACATCATATGTCATTTCAACCAAGTAGTTGGAGTCCTCCTCTTCCAACATTTTAAAAGGTTTTTTGAATTTGATTGCCGATTCCAACATGAGGAAAGTCGAGTTCCATCGAGTAGCAATATCAAGACACACCGTACCTTTATAACCTATCCTTTCTTCTTTGACACATTTCTCAAAGATTTGGCTTCTACTGGTAGAACTCCTCACATACTTAACCGTATTACGAATTCGGTTAACAGATTCCTCAATCTCTCTAATACTATCTTTCACAATCAAATTCAAAATGTGAGCTGTGCATCTCATATGAAAATGTTCACCATTTAGAATCAAAGCATTCCTATCCGCCAATCTCTCCCTCAAGTAAGTCATTGCCACATCATTAACGGTTGCATTCCACTGTTATAGTGGACTGTGAAACCCCCTTTTTTTAATCCTAATATATATTACATATTCTTGGTGATTTTATTTTTATGGAATGGGATTTCTGTTAGTTTTTAAAAGTTTTATTGGGAGTGAAATTGCAAGAAAAGGAAGCTGTTGGGTTTGCATGTAACAAGGGGCAAAATCTGGAGGTTTTTTTGAAGGAAAAGCTGATGTGGCAGGGGTTTACCGGAATTATCTGTAATCTAGGGGCAGAAGCATAATTCTAGAAAGATTAAAAAAAATATATATATATATATATATATATATAAAAGGGGGGCTGATTTTCGCCCAGATGAAGGAAGAAGGAGACGGTGAGAGAGAAAAAGAGTAGAGAAAGAAGAGAAGGAAGAAGAAAGAGAGAAGAGAGAAAGAAAAAGGAAGAGGAGAAAAAAAAAGGAGCAGATCGGCCATAACCCAGTTTCTGATAGTCCATGCATGTAGATTGGGAGGAACGAAAGAGAAGAATGGATGAGAGTGCAGGGAGCTTCGGTTGAGCTGATTTTAAATTTTACATGCATGGAGATACATTGCATCCAAAATGCTTGAAGCTAGTTGGAAGTTTGGTTGAGCTGAATGGTGAGTGGTTTTAATGAAAACTTTCCTTAAAAATTTCAGATCTATGCTTGCATGTTAATTGTGGTATGCCATGTTTGTGTTTTGATGAGGTTTGAGCTAATTGTGAAGTTTGCTTGATTTACCTTCTCTGCATGTTTTCAGACAGATTTTAGAGTGGTTGATTTGAGTTTTAAAATGGAATGTAATTTGCTTGCTAATTGAACTTGCATGCATTTCGTTGTTTCAATAAATTGTGATGGTGGCTGGATACTTTGATTACATGTAATTTGGCTGGAAAGTGTATTGGGTTATTGAGAGGTTGTCAACTGAGTTGAGTTTTGGGTAAGCTTTGCTTGTCAAATGCTTGGAAACGTTAGTCTTATCTGGGTAGAGATGAATGTAATTGTTGGTAATTAGTTGAAGGAAGAACGTGAGTTAGTTAGAGAAGGGATGTTGACGTGTGCAGTAAGTGAGTTTTAAATGTGCTTTTTCCTTTATTTTGTCAAAAACATGCATTTGCCCTTATTTTGTTAAAAACATGCAATTATTATTTGTCTTGTCTTGTTGGAAAATTTGGAAGAGAGGAAATGCATAATTAAAGGGAGGATTCCTACAGATTTTTAAATAATGCAGAGTGTTGAGGTTGGCTATTAAATTGTTAAATGGGTATGTTTATGATTAAGATGAGATATTACTATAATTTTAACCTTTGTTATATATATAAAGTGTATAATTGGTGGGTTTATTCTTTAAAATGGGCTTAAATGGGGAAAAATTTTGTTAGTTAAAGACTAGGGAGTGCAGACATTAAATGGTTTTCTAAAAATTTCACATTTTAAGCTAGTATGTAAATTTATTTATTACTTCAAATTCCTTGAATTTACTTTGAATTGTAAATGTGAATTTGATGAAGTTTGGTACATAGAATTTATATATATTCATGCTATATGAATAAAACTTTGCTGTTGAGAGTAGAGAGTTGTATGAATTGTATACGGGTTGAAGTTTGTGATGTTGGTAAATGGTTTCTTGGTAAAAAGAGGGAAGGGGCGCATTCTGTCAGTTTTGAAAGAATGTTTTAAAACTTTCATTCTACCCCCATTTTTGCATGGAATTTCATACGTTTTGGCATGATTTGCTTTTATATGAAATGTGGTATATATCTTATGATTAGTATCGGACATATGCTATCGTAATGTGATGTTGAAGAAATCAGTTTTGAAACATGTTTGAAAATTTGCAGGTTCACCCCTGAACGTGATTTTTGAATATTATGTCAAATATGCATGATTTATAAGAACTTATATAATATGCTCTTGACTTATATACTACTTGGGATTATACATGAGATAGTTGTGGTGAGAACCTTCAGTATCAGTTTACGGTTTCAGAACAAGATATCAGTTTAAAGTTTTTAGATACCAGCATATAGTTTTCATTATCAATTAATTAAAAGGTTTTACCAAAATATCCAATAGTTAAAGGCAAGCCGTGTATTTTCAATTGGGTGTTAATGATAAAAGGTTATAAATAATTTATTAATTGTTTTGTTTGATATTTGGTCAAATAGTTGAAAGAGAATGCATTGAATATTTCCATTAACATATTATTCCTTTTTTTTTAAAAGTTGTTTGAAAGTTTGAGAACATATGGGGTTCAATAGAAAACTGAATAATCTGATAATTTTCTACAAGTTCAAGTAGTCAAATATTACGGCTGTAGAAAATTGATATTCTTTTTGTGTCTTGCACTGAGTCTGAAGCATTAAATGCAAGCCAATGCTTTTCATGTCTATGAGACTCACATGGAGTGCAAACCTTAAATAAATAATTACATGTTACAATTTTGTCAGGGTTTAAGTGTTAAACTTAAGAGTATTGAGGGTGTCTTTGAAACTATGATGCATCGAGTTTTGTGGAAGTGCCTGTCATGTGAATTGTAGACTTATTTAATAATTGTGTAAAGTTTCTTTTGGCTCCCTCATGTTTATTTCATTACTTGTCTTTACTTACATTTTAGCCCAGAATACACTACCATAAATTATTTCATAATATTTTAATAATTTTATAAAAGCCTATGTTTTGAAGAAATATAATGTATTGGGTTAAGAATAAGTATAGTAATGACTTACAAACCACCTTGCAAAGTACCCGTTCCCCAAAGATACATATTTTTGACTCCGCCCGAGCGATGCAGGATTCCGCCGAGTATAACAGTTTCAGATTTTAGCTCTGCGCATGCGTATGATAGATTTTATTGGCTCTACCTGGGCGTTGAGTGGTCCGCCAGGTATGACAGTTTCAGTGGCTTTGCCCGCACGATGATAGATCTTGTTGGGTATGACAGGTACATCCTTTGCTCTGCCTCCTTGCAGGACCCCCCCCAGGTAAGACAGATTTCCTCAAGGGTACTAGTTGTGGTGAGAGTTTTCTGTTATTA